CAACAACCACAGTCAATAACCACAACAACCACAACCAATACCACAGGCAACAACCACAACCAATAACCACAGGCAACAACCACAACCAATAACCACAAGCAACAACCACAGTCAATAACCACAACCAATAACCACAAGCAACAACCACAACCAATAACCACAAGCAACAACCACAGTCAATAACCACAACAACCACAACCAATAACCACAGGCAACAACCACAACCAATAACCACAAGCAACAACCACAGTCAATAACCACAAGCAACAACCAGTCAATAACCACAAGCAACAACCACAGCCAATAACCACAAGCAACAACCACAACCAATAACCACAGGCAAAAACCACAACCAATAACCACAAGCAACAACCACAACCAATAACCACAGGCAACAACCACAACCAATAACCACAGCAACAACCACAACCAATAACCACAAGCAACAACCACAACCAATAACCACAAGCAACAACCACAACCAATAACCACAAGCAACAACCACAACCAATAACCACAAGCAACAACCACAACCAATAAGCACAAGCAACAACCACAACCAATAATCACAAGCAACAACCACAACCAATAACCACAAGCAACAACCACAGTCAATAACCACAAGCAACAACCACAGTCAATAACCACAAGCAACAACCACAGTAAATAACCACAAGCAACAACCACAGTCAATAACCACAAGCAACAACCACAACCAATAACCACAAGCAACAACCACAGTCAATAACCACAAGCAACAACCACAATCAATAACCACAAGCAACAACCACAGTCAATAACCACAAGCAACAACCACAATCAATAACCACAAGCAACAACCACAGTCAATAACCACAAGCAACAACCACAGTCAATAACCACAAGCAACAACCACAGTCAATAACCACAAGCAACAACCACAGTCAATAACCACAAGCAACAACCACAGTCAATAACCACAAGCAACAACCACAGTCAATAACCACAAGCAACAACCACAGTAAATAACCACAAGCAACAACCACAGTAAATAACCACAAGCAACAACCACAGTAAATAACCACAAGCAACAACCACAGTCAATAACCACAAGCAACAACCACAACCAATAACCACAAGCAACAACCACAGTCAATAACCACAAGCAACAACCACAACCAATAACCACAAGCAACAACCACAACCAATAACCACAAGCAACAACCACAACCAACAACGCCCACAACAACCACAACACTTGCCACAAGTTCAACAAGCACAAGTAATCTGGTTAATACAGCGATACATAAATTAATACACAATACCAGGTGTGTTTTTCCTTCACTCATCATTTATCTTAAATTATCTAATGGTATTTCAGGGGAAAAATCATATATTTATAATTCTAATATTTATATAAATTATTATAGACACACACACATACGATATCTTGATATGTGTACACACATACACAGTAGCGACCAGTGAAGAGACGGGGCCAGGAGCTATGAATCGACCCCTGCAACCACGATTGAGTACACACACACAAACACACATATAGTTTTAAGACGAGGTATGATAAAGCTCATGGAGCAGGGAGAAGGAGGACCCAGTAGAGGTCAGTGAAGAGGCGGGGACCAGGAGCTGAGTCTCGACCCCTGCAACCTCAATTAGGTGAGTACAAAACACAGGCGAGGTGTCTATCGACAGTACCTTTCACAACATTTAATTAGCACAAACGGGACTAGGTTGAATACCTGTTGGAAACGGGAGCAGAGAAATGGGGGCACGAGTAACGGGAAATGGGACTACAGAAAGGGAGTGACTATGATGGAATAGTACACTCTGAGGGAAGTGGAGGAGAGAAAACTGTACAAGAAAGTCTGAAGGTGAGAGAGTCAGTGACAGGACGCAAACATGAAGCAAAAACCACAAAACAGGAAAAGCAGCAAGACCATGATGCAACCAGGAAAACAGAGATACCAAGACGAAATATATCTTTCACTGTATATACACCGAGAAGTATGTATCTTCGACTGTATATACACCGAGAAGTATGTATCTTCGACTGTATATACACCGAGAAGTATGTATCTTCGACTGTATATACACCGAGAAGTATGTATCTTCGACTGTATATACACCGAGAAGTATGTATCTTCGACTGTATATACACCGAGAAGTATGTATCTTCGACTGTATATACACCGAGAAGTATCTTCGACTATATATACACCGAGAAGTATTTATATTCCACTGTATATACACCGATAAGTATGTATCTTCCACTGTATATACAATGAGAAGTACGTATACCTTTCAATGTGTATATACAATGAGCTAATGTTAGTCCCTAATTTAACGAATAAAGAATTCTTAACATGTGGTCAACGGCTGCCTTAATGACCCTCCAATAGTCTAAAGGCTACAAGCTTTTATAATTGACTATCTAACGGGTAGACACAGTTGGGGAGGCGGGAAACGGGTTCACAAGGACACACTTGGAAGCTAAAGACACACGTGAGTCACTGGGATGTCAGGAAATATTTCTCCAGCCTCAGGGTGGCCAGGAAGCTGACAGGACCTTGATGGAGCAGTGGTCGAGGCAGAATCGACATACAGCTTTGAGAATAAGCATAACAGTACTGAGGTAGGCCAGGAGCGAATCCGGACACAGCGAGTTAAGAGGCGGGGGACAGGAGCTGAGAACCGACGCTAGAACCATCACTTACAACATCTTGGATCAACTTTTAGCTGAATTTTTGTCGTAAAATGCAGTTCAGAGATCAGATTTGATTTAAGCTTAAGACAATTTGTTTCTCAACAAGATAACATCAATTTCGTTATTTACAGCAGATTTATAACTGATTCTACAAAAAAATAACACCAATGCTGTTACTTATACACACATTTTTAAGTATTTCTACACAAGATAACATCAAATCAGATACTGAAGCATCCTAGTTAAAAATTCCCAGCATATTTAGAACGCGGCTGAAAACATTACCTGGCTAGGCGTTCTTACAGCACAGACGACTGTTAAGACAGGGAATATCACCAGCTATCACCATCAACAATAACAGCCTCCCCCACTCCACCTTAAATGTTAACCGACAGTTATCAGTCGAGTCTGAACACCTCGTAAATTCATGGCTACGAGACAATTCGTGGGAGTTATAGTCGGGTATCATTATCAAAGGAACTATTGAAAAAAATAACTGGAATCATCTGGATAATCTCAGAGAGATTATCAAGATGATTACCATCTCCAGGAGATGATAATCTCTCTGAGATTATCTTCTCCTGGAGATGAAGACCGATTATACAATTATTGAAAACGTCCAAAGATATTATTGGTTTTATTTTTTAAATTATTTTTAATAATTCGTAATTACATGTAGGTGCTCTTAATATAATTCTAAAGAAATTACTTACCGTAACAGTGGGTGGAGAAAACTACAATGTCAACAGATGTCAGGACGTAGGAAGAGGAAAGATGTAGGAAAAAGGAAGTAAGGAAAATAAGGAAGAGGTTAGTATGAACACTCAAAACACCTGTTCAGGTCACTATGAACACTCAAAACACCTGTTCAGGTCACTATGAGCACTCAAAACACCTGTTCAGGTCACTATGAGCACTCAAAACGCCTGTTCAGGTCACTATGAGCACTCAAAACACCTGTTCAGGTCTACTTAGGCCTATTTTTAATAGGGCTACCCTGCGGTCCTTACATGTACCGTGCCAGGAAAACTGGACCAAGAACCAACTCCTGGGGAAGGGGAAGTAATGACAGGGCAAGAGAAGAGGCAGGAAAAGGCATGGAAAAATAAGTAGAAAAAACATGGGGAAAACAGTAGCAAAAGACAGGAGGAAGGGTAGATGGAGGGGAGGTAGATGGAGAAAGAAGGAAAGGCAGGTAGGGAGAAAGAGAGAGAGGGAGGGAGAGAGAGAGAGAAGCAGCGTAGGGTTCACATGTGGGTCTTCCTGGCTGGAAGGTCACACAGTCCCAGTGCCACCCACAGTGCCAGTGAAGCCCCATACCTGACCTCTCACCCCTCCACCCAGACCACCCCTCCACCCACAGAACCCCTCCACCCAAACCTCCCCTCCACCCACACCACCCCTCCCCCCACCACCTTCACCACCCCTCCACTCACAGAACCCCCCTTCACCCCCCCACACCCCCTCCACCCCCCCCCATCCACATCACCCCCTCTCCACCCACACCACCACTCCCCAAAATCCACACCCCAATGGAAATAAGCCAAAGACCCCAATGGAAATATGCCAAGGTTCCCAATGGAAATATGCCAAGGTTCCCAATGGAAATATGCCAAGGTTCCCAATGGAAATATGCCAAGGACCCCAATGGAAATATGCCAAGGACCCCAATGGAAATATGCCAAGGTTCCAATGGAAATATGCCAAGGTTTCCAATGGAAATATGCCAAGGTTCCCAATGGAAATATGCCAAGGTCCCCAATGGAAATATGCCAAGGTTCCCAATGGAAATATGCCAAGGTTCCCAATGGAAATATGCCAAGGTTCCCAATGGAAATACATCACTGGCTTTTTCGGGTTTTTGGGGTTATCGTACACACAGGTAAGATAACTGTACTCGTGTACCTGTGACTAAATAACCTTACACCACTGCACCCACCCCAACCTCCCCACCCACAAGCAATCCCACCCAACCCCACTATTCCCTAGGACCTATTCCCACCCCAACCCTAACAACCTTTGTATCCCAAAATACATCTTTGTATTACAAATACACCTTGACTTAATACACTCAGTGATAGACATGACCATCATTCTGCCTGTATGATAAACATGACTATCATTCAACCTGTATGTTAGACATGACTATCTTTAAACCTGTATGATAGACATGACTATCGTTAAACCTGTATGATAAACATGACTATCATTAAACCTGTATGACAGACATGATTGTCATTCGAATACAATGATTTTCAACACACAAGACATCACACCTTTTTTTAACGTTCCAGCCTACCTGAAAACAGCTGTTCATGTGTCTTCCTAGAACACGTGTTTACACGTGTTCTGACACACGTGTTGACATACATGTGGATATACATGTTCACTGCCTCCTGTACACCTGCAGCATCTCTTACCTGTAATGAAAGAGAAGGAGTTTTTATAAATAACACTGGTATTAACTAGTGACACACTGGTATTAACTAGTGACACACTGGTATTAACTAGTGACACACTGGCATTAACTAGTGACACACTGGTATTAACTAGTGACACACTGGTATTAACTAGTGACACACTGGCATTAACTAGTGACACACTGGTATTAACTAGTGACACACTGACACAAGTGACATTGGTACTAACTAGTGACACTAGAGGTACACTGGTACAAACTAGTGGCACACTGGTACTAACTAGTGACACACGAGTATTAATTAGTGACACACTGGTATTAACTAGTGACACACTGGTACTAACTAGTGACACACTGACACTAATTAGTAACACGCTGACACTAATGGCACACTGGTTTTAACTAGTGACACACTGGTACTAACTAGTTACTGACACACACTGGTACTAACTAGTTACTGACACACACTGGTACTAACTAGTTACTGACACACACTGGTACTAACTAGTTACTGACACACACTGGTACTAACTAGTTACTGACACACACTGGTACTAACTAGTTACTGACACACACTGGTACTAACTAGTTACTGACACACACTGGTACTAACTAGTTACTGACACACACGGGTACTAACTAGTTACGGACACACACGGTACTAACTAGTTACTGACACCCCTTACTAACTAGTTACTGACACACACTGGTACTAACTAGTTACTGACATACACTGGTACTAACTAGTTACTGACATATAGTGTCACTAGTTAATGTCAGATTATTAACGCATCAAAATAGTGATATGTTGACATATCTTCTCACCATGTTACCTCCCCCCCTTCCCCCTCCCCTTCCTCACTCTCCCCTCCCTCACTGTCCCCTTCCTTCTCCCTCCCCTACCCTTCCCACCCCCGCAACGTCGAGATAATTCAGAAACACAAAACATTCCCAGTGGGTCTGGAGGCCTCTAACCAGCGGATCAACATTAACGAAAAACGTATCTGCCAACCTAACCTAAATGCCAAGAGAATTCCTGAACGAACTAGACAGACGCAACACACAGACGCAACACACAGACGCAACACACAGACGCAACACACAGACACAACACACAGACGCAACACACAGTCAACATTAAATCTGGAAACTACTAAAACATAACAAGAAATCTTCAAAGTAAGCTAACTACACTTCAGTGATTATCTTCTTTTCTAAATAAATCTGCTGCTAAATATGATTAACAATATGAAAAAGAAGAATATAAACAGTGTACAAGCCAGGAAAATATAACATTAACGCAATATATTACAGGAAATACAGAAAGTAAATATTACAAGGCAATAAATAATTATTTGTTCATATATGATAAAATCTACATATATAATAACATGTAATTAGTTTATTACAGTAAAGGATAAGAAGGAATAATAAAGAATGTTGGAGTGGAAGATGGAGGAGACAGAGAGAGACAAGACCTTGAATTTATAAAGGAAGTGAGATTGTTTTAGTGAAAGAAGACATAAGGAACAGACACACACAGGTGTCTTGGTCAAGGAAGACACACAAACAGGTGTCTTGGTCAAGGAAAACACACACACGGGTGTCTTGTCAAGACACACACACACACACAACACACAAAACACACACACACCACACACCCCACACACACACACACAAAACACACACACACACAGCAAAATGTGAGCAGTCATGAAGGTCTCTTCACGAAATTCAATTTCAATAGCAAAAACATACAATGGGAACCATACCCCCGGCCGGGATTGAACCCGCGGCCGGGGGTATGGTTTATTTGCAATCGTGTCATTACGATTTCTTAAGTCATACAATGGGATCAAGTAAACCATGTCCTAAATAAAACAAGCTGGGAAGATATCCTAAACAACACGGATCCCAACATCTGCCTTGAAAAAATAAATTCTGTGGTTCTTGAGATCTGCTCAAGACACATTCCATTAAGAAAAAAGAAAGAGAAGATGTAAACTAGAAAGAGAGAGATGCTCCCTATACAGACGAAGGTGAAGAGTCACAGAGCTGCTGAGAGGGGCCAATATATCTGAAATACGAAGGGAGGCACTAGTCAAGGAAATTACAAATATCGAACTTAAGCTGAAGGAATCTTACAGGAGACAAGAATCACAGGAAGAACTAAAAGCCATAAAGGAAATTGAAAAAAAAAATACTTCTTCTCTTATGGCAACTCTAAGGAAAAAAAACATCATCCAGTACTGGGCCCCTGCTTAGACGGGATGGGACATACACAGATGATGGCCAAGAAATGAGTGAGATACTAAAGTCTCAATATGACTCGGTGTTCAACGATCCACTGCCCAGACTAAGGGTCGACAACCCAAATGAATTCTTTATGAACGAAACCCAAAATTTGGTCATCTCAATTATCTCGGATATTATCCTAACTCCACAAGACTTTGAAGAGGCAATAAATGACATGCCCATGCACTCTGCCCCAGGCCCAGACTCATGGTACTCCATGTTCAACATGAATTGCAAGAAACCCCTATCGCGTGCCTTCAGCATTTTATGGAGAGGAAGCATGGACACAGGGGTCATCCCACACTCACTAAAACAACAGACATAGCCCCACTCCACAAAGGTGGCAGTAAAGCAATAGCAAAGAACTACAGACCGATAGCACTAACATCCCATATAAAAATCTTTGAGAGGGTTCTAAGAAGCAAGATAGCCAACCACCTAGATACCCATCAATTACACAACCCAGGGCAACACGGGTTTAGAGCAGGTCGCTCCTGCCTGTCTCAGCTACTGGACCACTATGACAAGGTCCTGGATGCTGTAGAGGATGAACAAAATACAGATGTAGTATACACAGACTTTGCAAAAGCTTTCGACAAGTGTAACCATAGTGCAATAGTACACAAAATGCGTGATAAAGAAATAACAGGAAAAATTGGTAGATGGATCTATAACTTCCTGACAAATAGAACACAAAGAGTGGTAGTAAACAGAATAAAGTCTCAGGCAGCCACGGTAAAAAGCTCTGTTCCACAAGGCACAGTACTTGCTCCCATTCTATTCCTCATCCTCATTTCTGACAGAGATGTAAGTCATAGCTCCGTGTCTTCCTTTGCGGCTGACACCCGGATCACCATGGCAGTGACCTCCATCGAAGACACCGCGAGACTCCAAGCGGACATCAACCAAATCTTCAAATGGGCCACTCTCAAAACAATATGAAGTTCAACGAGGAGAAATTTCAAATACTCAGATTTGGGAAACTTGAGGAAAATAAAAATAATCAGGGTATACGACAAATTCTAACCATACAATAGAGCGGAAAAGTAATGTGAAGAACCTGGGAGTGATGATGTCAGAGTACCTCCCCTTCAAAGATCACAATGTATCTACCTCATCTGCTAGGAAAATGATAGGATGGATAATGAGAACCTCCATAACTTGGGACGCCAAGCCCAGGATGATTCTCTTCAAATCGCTTGCGCTCTCTAGGCTGGAATACTGCTGTACATTAACGGCTACCTTCAAGGCTGGCGACATTGCAGACCTGGAGAGTGTACAAAGAACTTTCATGGCACACATAAGTAGCATAAGGCACCTAAATTACTGGGAACGGTTGAAGGTCCTTGATCTGTATTCCCTGGAACGCAGGCGAGAGAGATACATGATAATATACGCTTGGAAGGTCCTGGAGGGATTGGTACCAAACCTGCACATGAAAATCACTTTATATGAAAGCAAAAAACTCGGCAGGAGATGCAACATTCCACCGATGAAAAGCAGGGGTGCCACGAGTACACTGAGAGACAACACAATAAGTGTCCGGGGCCCAAGACTGTTCAACTGCCTCCCAGCATACATAAGGAGGATAGACCCCTGGCTGTCTTCAAGGCGGCACTGGACAGGCACCTAAAGTCAGTACCTGACCAACCGGGCTGTGGTTCGTACGTCAGCTTGTGTGCGCCCAGCAGTAACAGCCTGGTTGATCAGACCCTGATCCACCATGAGGCCTGGTTTCAGACCGAGCCGCGGGGGCGTTGACCCCCGAAACCCTCTCCAGGTAAACACAGGTGTCTTGGTCAAGGAAGACAGACACACAGATGTCTTGGTCAAGGAAGACAAACACACAGGTGTATTGGTCAAGGAAGACACACACACACAGGTGTCTTGGTCAAGGAAGACACACACACACAGGTGTCTTGGTCAAGGAAGACACACACACACAGGTGTCTTGGTCAAGGAAGACACACACACACAGGTGTCTTGGTCAAGGAAGACACACACACACAGGTGTCTTGGTCAAGGAAGACACACACACACAGGTGTCTTGGTCAAGGAAGACACACACACACAGGTGTCTTGGTCAAGGAAGACACAACACACACAGGTGTCTTGGTTTAAGGAAGACACACACACACAGGTGTCTTGGTCAAGGAAGACACACACACACAGGTGTCTTGGTCAAGGAAGACACACACAGGTGTCTTGGTCAAGGAAGACACACACAGGTGTCTTGGTCAAGGAAGACACACACAGGTGTCTTGGTCCCAAAGGGAAACCACAACCACAGGTGTCTTGGTCAAAGGGAAAACACACCACACAGGTGTCTTGGTCAAGGAAGACACACACAGGTGTCTTGGTCAAGGAAGACACACACACACACAGGTGTCTTGGTCAAGGAAGACACACACACACACAGGTGTCTTGGTCAAGGAAGACACACACACACAGGTGTCTTGGTCAAGGAAGACACACACACACACAGGTGTCTTGGTCAAGGAAGACACACACACACAGGTGTCTTGGTCAAGGGAAAACGCACACACAAAACAGGTTCTTGGGTCAAAAGGGAAAACACACACACAACAGGTGTCTTGGTCAAGGAAGACACACACACACACAGGTGTCTTGGTCAAGGAAGACACACACACACAGGTGTCTTGGTCAAGGAAGACACACACACACAGGTGTCTTGGTCAAGGAAGA